CGTTCGAGCAGGTAGAGCGGAACCCAAGCTGGTGGAGAAACGCCGCGATGCGCTGGTACCAAGCGTGCGGAGCCTGCTTGAGTTTGTACAAGGACCGCAAAAGCAGGCACACGTGGTCGGGAAGCGTCGGGTCAATAAACCCGGTGGGGTGCTGGTAGAAGACCTGCTCCTCGAGGTGGCCATGGAGGAAGGCGTTAGAGACGTCCATCTGGTGCACCGGCCAAGCATGGGAGACCGCAAGGTGGAGAACCGTGCGTATCATGCCGGGCTTCACGACCGGAGTGAAGGTGTCGGTGAAGTCGATACCAGCATGCCGTCGGAAGCCACGAACGACCAAGCGTGCTTTGTAGCGATCAAGGGTACCATCAGGACGGAGCTTGTGTTTAAATACCCACTTCCCGGTAATCACGTTGGCGTGCCGAGGACGGGGCACAAGCTGCCACGTTCAGTTGTGCAATAGGGCGTCAAACTCCTCTTGATCGTAGCCATCCAGAGCAGGTCACGAAGAGCGACTCGAACGGAGGACGGCAAATGCGACGGCTCAGAGGTGGACACTGCATGGACGTAGTCATCCAAGGTGTAGCGCGAGCTTGGGCGGAAAAAGCCCGTACGGGCGCGGGTGACCGGACCGGCCACAGGCGCCAGGGGGGCGCGGGCACCGGGGGCGCCGACGGGGCCGTGGGCGCCAATGTCGGGGGTGCCGGGGGCACCAGCGTCGCGGCTGTAGGAGGCGCCGCATGCGGGGGGGCGTGCCTCAAAGCCAGGGACGGGCCAAGAGAGGCGCGCGAGCGCCCTGGGAGAGGCATCGAGGAGTCCGCGTCATCGGTGGCGGGAGGAACAGCCGGGGGTACCTGGTGAAACGGAAACACATGCTCATCAAAGTAAACGTGCCGGGAGGTGAACACACAGTGCGAGACGGGATCGTAGCACCGATATCCCTTGGAGTTAGAGGGGTAGCCGATGAAGATGCAAGTGACAGATCGAGGTGCAAGCTTGTGAGAAGCAGTGTCGTTAATGCTGGGATAGCAACGGCACCCAAAAATACGCAAGTCGTCATAAGACGGGGGCGTACCCAAGAGAAGATGGTGAGGTGCGTAGTTCCACCGTGGGCGGCAGGGTCTAACATTAAGAAGAAGTGATGCAGCGGCGAGTGCGTCTGGCCAGAAATGAGGCATCACGTTGGCATGAAACAGGAGTGTGCGAACGCAGTCATTCAGAGTGCGAAGGACGCGTTCAGCTCGACCGTTCTGCTATGAAGTGTACGGTCATGTGAGGCGAAAAACTATACCGTGATGTGACAAAAAGGTGCTGAAAGTGAGGTTGTCAAACTCTTTTCCATTGTCTGTCTGAAGCGCAAGGATGAGATGCCCAAACTGCAGTGCGGACATAGGAGTAAAAAGCCGTCAAGGTAGAGAGTGCATCCGACTTTCTGTGCAAAAGAAAAGTCCACACATAATGAGAATAATCATCAAAAATAACCAGATAATATAAATAGCCCGAGTTACTAGGAAGTCCACACATCGTTATGAATCAACTGAAAAGGAAAAGAAACAATGGTGGTGGAATTACTAAACGGCAGACAAACATGTTTGCCGACTCAACAGGCATGACAAGTATGATCCTCGATCTTATTGCAACTGAAACTGAAACTCCTAAGAATATGAAAAAGTGTGACGGGGTTAGGACGACCCAAGCGAGCGTGCTAGAGATCGACTCAAGCAGAGAGAGCAACCGGTGCGGTGGTGGTAGATGAAGGCAAGTGCATCGGTTAGAGCTCGTCGGGGCTGTCACATCGGTGAAGTACCATCTTGGTTCGAGTGTCTTTAACACAAAAACCAAGCTCATCAAATTCAACGGTAACAGGATTTTCACGAGTGAAACAACGAACAAAAATGAGATTCTTAATAAGATGAGGTGATACAAGTATGTTAGACAAATATAATGGAGTAGAACTAGAAGGAAAAGAGTGTGTCCAATGTGTGTGATAGGAAGTGTGGAACCGTCGCTGGCAATGATGCGGCAGTCGGTGGAGACAGGAGTGAAGGAGGCAAGGTTACCAGGATGAGCAAACATGTCAACCATAACACCGATGTCCATGTACCAATCACCACCTCCAGTGTAGTTATTCGGCGTAGTAGCGGCATACAGTGTGGGGAGGTGCACCGGATCCCAGGGTGCCAGCGGTAGGGCCGGTGAGGGGGGCGGAGACACCATGGGGAGGTCATAGCCGCCGCTCTGTTGCGGCGGTGTGTACTCTCCATACGGTGTGGGTAGCAGCCCCGGCTGTGACTGCGGTGCCGGGTAGGCCGGATGGCCCGCCGGAAAAATCTGCTGGCCCGCTGACAGATGCTGCAGGTGCTGAGCAACAGCTGGCTACTGCCCAGTGGACGGGTGCTGGCTTGCCGATGACCCCCACCAGTACCCGTGAGACCCGTACACGGGCGGAGCCCCGTATGTAGGATTCTCGTGCGTGGAAACGGGCACAGCAAGGATTCGACGGGCAGAGGCGGCGCCGGCGGCGAGGCGACGACGGACTGGCCGAAGAGCGCCGACGGTGGCGGGGCCGTGCCGTAGGACGCCAGCGGCGGAGCCGCGCCAAAGGGCCCGTAGCGGGACTGGCCGAAGAGCGGCGGCGGCGGTGGGGCCGCGCCGTAGGACGCTGGCGGCGGAGCCGTGCCAGAGGGCCCGTAGTAGAACTGGCCGGAGAACGCTAGCGGTGGTGGGGCCGTGTCGTAGTATGCCGGCGGAAGAGCCGCGTCAGAGGGCGTCGTCGGCGGGACGGCAAAGGCAGTGGTGGACGGGTCGGACACCATCGGGGCGAAAGAGTTTTTCGTACGGATGTGCTGATGTGGTTGATTGCTCGGGCGTTCGCTAGCTGCGCGGCGCCGTCCACGTCGAATGTTGTTGATGTGGTTGATTGCTCGGGCTTGCATGCACGTACGTGTATGTGCATCGTGCTTGCATGCACGTACGTGTATGTGCATCGTGCTTGCATGCACGTACGTGGATGTGCACCGTGCGGCTGGAGCTAGCGATGGATGCGCACCGGGCGGCTGAAGCTAGCGATGGATGCGGCTGGATTGAGCCGGCGATGGATGCGGCGGCAGGCGGCTGGAGCTAGCGATGCGGGTGCAGTGAGGCCAGCGATGCGATCGGGCAGCGGCTGGCGGGGCTGCTAGTATAGCACGCGAGCGGCGGCCGGCGCGGGAAGCGTGCGGACGGCGGCGGCTGGGAAGCGGCGGCGGCGGCGCGGAGGAGTCGCGTGGTGGCGGTGGCGGAAGGCTAGAATTCGGAAATTGATACCGTGTAGAATATGTAAATTGCACGATGTGTTGCTTTTCGTGCATAGGCACGTATATGTGATGTATAAAGATAGATTATAGACCTTAACTATACAAGAAACTAAGAAACGAGTTCAATACATAATATGAACATAACACATATACTCACCAGCAACAAACATCACGTCAATCTCCGGCTTTGTTCCTCTCTGGTAACTAATATGCAACTCCTATTGACTCTCCACGCACCGACGGAGAAATCATCATGTGCCGGGATCGAAGTTGTTAGCATGAGTTTGTAAGGCCTAGTGATGAAGAAAGGTATTTTATTTGCATGCATTGGAAGATGATGGATTGCAGATAAACCAACACCGTAACCAAGTGCCACTTCTAAAATAAGAAAGTAAGAATAAATTGGCACCAAACACTGTGTTAACATCACAACGAGCAATGATGTCGCTGCATGCCCTTTGGCAGCACCGAAGTCTTATAGGTTGTTCGATGCCTTTGGACCAACACTCCTAGTAAACTGAAAGTCAGATGAGTTGTCGACGAAAATAATACGTCAAGAGCTAGAAGGCTAAGAATTCGTTTCTTTGTATAACTAGCGGCCATTAGTTAGATCGATAGCAGCAACAGCAATGGATTCACTACGTACTCCAGTCTACTATACAAAAACGGACGTGATGTAAACGGCGAAAACTTGATTTTCAAGTGATCATGATGGCAGTGGCGTCTAATTAACTTTTTTTTAACACACGTCCGCTAATAAACTTGGTGTACGTGATATACGTGACGCAACAGACTTTCTGGCCTTATACCAGTACTCCATCGCATGGGTGTTTCTTTTCTTTTAAGAAAAGATATGACATGTTCAAAAAAATCATGGCCGGTTACGAAGATTGGAAGTTTGGCATTTTTATCTGTTTCTTGGACAGATGTTTCTTTTTTAGAGGAAAGACAATGCTCTAGTAGTTTCCCAAATAGCAATTGTGACTCCACTGCTAAAATAGAGCGCTAATTATTACTCCCTCCATTCCAAAATGTCTTAACTTTATACTAATTTTATATTAACTAATATAAAGTTAGTACAAAGTTGAGACATTTATTTTGGGACGGAAGGAGTACTATTTGTCATATGGATGACTATTGGCCACAAATGGTGAAAACTAAGTACTCCGACTAATTTAAGTATAATCAGAATAACGTGAGTGGGCATGGTGGTACGCATGCCATGTCCGTCAGGATATGTCAAACTCCGAATTGGACGTCATGTGTGTGTGCATGCGATATACGTCTCTATCAACAAGGAAAAGCTTACGGTACGTGTCTCTGATTTAGTTTGTAGTGAGCGCGTATGAGTGACAGTGTGTATTTCCTTGTGTACAAGCGTTGTACTCCCTCCTACTCAACTTTATATTAACTTTAGTATAAAGTTGAGACATTTATTTTGGGTCGGAGTGATATATCCTATGTTTAGAGTATATTTTATAATTAATACGTACAATAAAGGAGTAAAGGTCCATGCATGTGCCATGTGGCACGCCAGGACCACGAAGCTGACCTAATGCTCGTGCTCTATGCACCTCCCCGACCCATATTTCTGACCTCCACAGCCCCCTCAAGGGCACACACCCCTCACCTCCAGTTGACACTACTGCTCGTCAATCTCAAGGGCACGAACGCCAAGTCCCGTGGCTGACGGCGACGGCGAGTAAGATGGTCAGCAGCACCAACGAAGTGCGGAGGACGGTGCAGGAGAGGCCGGTGGTGGTGGTGGGGCGGCCGGAGTGCTGCCTGGCGGTCGTCGCCCGGCACCTGCTCCTGCGGCAGGGCGTGAACCCGGCGGCCCTGGAGGTCAGCTACGACGCCGACCCTGCGGCGCTCGTGTACGCGCTCCGGGCCAAGGACGACAACACCAAGTTGGTCACCGACGTCGCCTTACCGGTGGTGTTCGTCGGAGGTAGGCTGTTGGGTGGGCTGGACCGACTCATTACCATGCACATCGCCGAAGAGCTCGTGCCGCTCCTGAGGCAGGCAGGTGCCCTGTGGCTCTGAACCTTCCTTGATGACATGCTGCCCGCTAATGGATGCCAGTCTGAATCAGTTATAAGCTTCCATTCCATGTGTGCGAGTGCTTTATTTCCTGTTTTTTCCCCAATGTATTATGTCCGCATGCCATATACTCCATCTAGTATTGTAAGCTTCCTTCATCCTTCAAGAAATGGCAAATAAACCGAGTTTGTTCATAAGATCGACTTGCGCAAAAGGCCTTGGAATCATCCCACCGACTTTCATTTCATTTTATTTTAGCGAGGCGGCTTTCAGATTGTTTTTTTCACAAAGGCTTTCAGGTTGTTGAATAGGCTTGAGGAAGTCATGAATTTTGTAAGCTCTCAACTTTTGCTGACTTGTGTCATGCGACACAATTGTCTCGGCTAGGAGGTTGGTTGTGGTCATGTGTGTGGATCGAGCAAGACTAATAATTTTAATACTCCCTTTGGTCCTTTCTTACTCCGCATATAAATTTTGTCTGAAGTCAAACTTTAAAAAGTTTAGTCATATTCATATAAAATATATATTAATATCTACCATACTAAAGTTATACAATGTGAAAATTAAAGCCACGAGGCATCTAATGATATTGATTTCGTATTGTGGATGTTAATTTATTTTATATAAAATTTTGATTTCAGACAGATCTTATATGGGGAACAAAAATGACCTGAGGGAGGAATAAAACAAAGAAGGAACTTTACCGTTTCCAGCAAAATTCAGTCGTTGAAGCAAGACAATAGTTACGGAAAAGTCTTTTTTCAACCGAAGAAACATTTTGGAAAGGAAGAGAGTTCAGGAGTTTGACCCCCATTACCAACGTCGGCTATTAGTGCTAGTTTGGACGTGCGCATTGGAATAAGTCTTTTAAAAGACCGACGTCAGTCCGCAACAAGGATGGGCGTTATGTTTTTATATTGATATCTTATAATATTTTAAATAAAAGGGCGGAATTTATTAGCTTAAAATGAAGCACTAAGGGGATACACACAGAAAGAGCATGCATTGGTACCTGATCTCTGTATAGATATGATGGATACGGTCAACACCAACACACGTAAGAAAATCATGTCGGCAGCTAGCAAAATCAAACAAGACCGAAGCTATATCTTGATGGAATAAAAAGAACAAAACTCCGAAGCGATCAAAACAATGATCAACAGCAGCAGTACAACGAGAAAAATTCTCCACCAGCAACGCCTTTAGGAAGAAAACGATGCTCAAGCGACGTCATTGTTGGATCCAACCACTAAAGGTCGGATCATTAGTTTTCACTCTAAAGAACAAGTCTGAGCAATTCCAAGCAATGCCTTCAACAATGTAACGATATAAGTGCATCTTCAACAGGCGCGCTAAATAAGCCGCACGCTGGTTAAAACGGTTATATAGTGCGCGTGACTGAAAGTAGCGCTCCACCAGTCGTGCTATAATCTCGCACGCGGTAAACAAGGCTAAGCGCGTTGGGGAAGACTGCATCGCGTGCTGCTTATTTGGTGTGCCTACTCGGCGCGCTGGACAAGCCAATCAGGCGCGTGAATCTCACCAACCGCTGGATCTGAAACCTCTAGGCGCTGGCGCCTCCGCCCGCACCTTCCCCCATTCGCGCCCGTGACCTGTCGGCGCTTCCCTCGCCTATCCCCAGCGCGTCGCCGCTTCCCCTACTTCTCCCGGTGGCCACCGCTGCTTCTCTCCTTGCCGCCGCCAATCAAGCGCACCGTTCCTCGAACGAACAGCACCAGGCGACCGTTTGCAGCTCGGCGCCCACAAGGTGTTTGACAAAACACTTGCAAGGTATTCCCTCCATTCTAAATTACTCGTCGCAAAAATGGATGTATCTAGACCTAAAATACATCTAGATACATCCATATCTGCGACAATTTGGAACATAGGGAGTATATATTGCTTCTAATTTTACATTTGTAGATGAATTTGGTGCATGTTGTTTGTAGTTTTAAATTAGTTTAAATTCAAGTTTGTAGATGAGTTCGTCCTACGATTCTTCCGATGAAGAATTTGATCTTCAAGAGAGGAGGATGCTACCTCTTGAGTATGCGTTGGTTTTTCCTTGAAGAGGAAAGGATGATGCAGCAAAGCAGCATAAGTATTTCCCTCAGTTTTTGAGAACCAAGGTATCAATCCAGTAGAAGACCACGCGCAAGTCACCTTGTACCTACACAAACAAATAAGAACCTCGCAACCAACGCGATAAAGGGGTTGTCAATCCCTTCATGGCCACTTGCAAGAGTGAGATCTGATAAAGATGATAATAATAAAATAAATATTTTTGGTATTTTTATGATATAAATTGAAAGTAAAGATTGCAAAATAAAATAGATTGGAAACTTGTATGATGAATAATAGACCCGGGGGGCATAGGTTTCACTAGTGGCTTCTCTCAAGATAGTATAAGTATTACGGTGGGTGAACGAATTACTGTCGAGCAATTGATAGAATTGAGCATAGTTATGAGAATATCTAGGTATGATATGTATATAGGCATCACGTCTGTGACAAGTAGACCGACTCCTGCCTGCATCTACTACTATTACTCCACAAATCGACCGCTATCTAGTATGCATCTAGAGTATTAAGTTCATAAGAATGGAGTAACACTTTAAGCAAGATGACATGATGTAGAGGGATAAACTCATGCAATATGATATAAACCCCATATTTTTATCCTCGATGGCAACAATACAATACGTGTCGTTTCTCCTACTGTCACTGGGATCGAGCGCCGCAAGATTGAACCCAAAGCTAAGCACTTCTCCCATTGCAAGAAAGATCAATCTAGTAGGCCAAACCAAACTGATAATTCGAAGAGACTTGCAAAGATAACCAATCATACATAAAAGAATTCAGAGAAGATTCAAATATTGTCCATAGATAATCTTGATCATAAACCCACAATTCATCGGATCTCAACAAACACACCGCAAAAGAATATTACATCGAATAGATCTCCAAGAGAATCGAGGAGAACTTTGTATTGAGATCCAAAGAGAGAGGAGAAGCCATCTAGCTAATAACTATGGACTCAAAGGTCTGAGGTAAACTACTCACACATCATCGGAGAGGCTATGGTGTTGATGTAGAAGCCCTCCGTGATCAATGCCCCCTCCAGCGGAGCGCCGGAAAAGGCCCCAAGATGGGATCTCACAGGTACAGAAGGTTGCGGCGGTGGAATTAGATTTTCGTGGTGCCCTCTGATGTTTTCAGGGTACGTAGGTATATATAGGAGGAAGAAGTAGGTCGGTGGAGCCACGAGGGTAGAGGGCGCGCCCAGGGGGGTAGGCACGCCCCCTACCTCGTGGCTTCCTCGTTGGTTGCTTGACGTCCACTCCAAGTTTTTTGGATCAAGTTTGTTCCAAAAATCAAGCTCCCGAAGGTTTCATTCCATTTGGACTCCGTTTGATATTCTTTTTCTGCGAAACACTGAAATAGGCAAAAAAACAGCAATTTGGGTTGGGCCTCCGGTTAATAGGTTAGTCCCAAAAATAATATAAAAGTGTATAAATAAGCCCATTAAACATCCAAAACAGAATACATAATAGCATGGAACAATAAAAATTATACATACGTTGGAGACGTATCAGAGGACGTCGCAATGATCCTAGCTATGCACGTCAATAAAAAGCCGAAGCACGGTGGTTCAATTTTCGGTCGCCAGAAATTATGGAGGGAAAAGATCGATGCTCACAATAGATTGATGAGGAACTATTTTGTGGACAATCCCACATACCCCAAGTCCTACTTTGGCGTCGTTTCAGGATGAGCATCGAGTTGTTCAAACACATTGCGAAGAAACTGGCGAGCCATGATCGATTTTTTCAGCAAAGGAGGAATGCCGCCAGAGAACTCGGGCATAACACCTTTCAAAAGGTGACCGCCGCTTTGTGTATGTTGGCATATGGTATTTCAGCGGATCTAGTTGATGACCACTTGGCCATGGGTGAAAGTCAAGTCATCATGTGTGTCAAGCGCTTCACAGTTGGAATTATGCAAGTGTTTGGTGCGGAATATTTGAGAGCTCCCAATGCTGAAGACACCGCAAGGCTTTTGGAAATGAACAAAGCTTGTGGGTTCATAGGTACGCTTGGCTCAATAGATTGCATGCATTGGAGTTGGAAGAACTGTCCTAAGGCATGGCATGGACAATTCCACGGCCAGAAAAAGGGTTCCACTATAATCCTTGGAATGGTGTCCGATCATGAGACTTGGATTTGGCATGCTTTTTGGAATGCCTAGATCTTGCAATGACATCAATGTTCTTCAGCGGTCACCACTCATGAATAGGATTGCAAATGGTGAAACTCCACTGATGGACTTTGTAGCAAATGGCCATACATACAACTATGGCTACTATCTTGCGGATGGCATCTACCGAAGGTGGCAAACATTTGTGAAGCCATTGACGGCACCACAAGGTAAGAAAAATCTTGATTTCCACAATGCTCAGGTGGTGTCTAGGAAAGATGTGGAGAGAGCTTTTGGGATTTTGCATGTCAATTTGCTATTGTGAGAGGACCGGCTAAATTTTGGGATCAAAAGATCCTTTGGTACATCATGAACGCTTGTGTGATCATGCATAACATGATCATCGAGAATGAGCGTGGGCAAGATTTAGACTATTCTCATTAAGAGTTGATGGGACATCCCGTGCAAGGGCGGAGGACGATTGCGAGGGTGGCCCGCTTTGTTGCCTCCTATCATGCATTCGACGTGCCGAAATGCATGATGACCTTTAAAAAGATCTAATCAAGGAAGGGTGGTCATGAAATTAATGCGTGACATTGTTCATGAAATATTTTCGGTATTGAAGATAGAATATTTGTTTGAGTTGTAATAATAATTAAACTATTTTTTGTTGATTTATTTTGTGTGTGTTTGATCTTTTTGGTGCTATGTTGAGTAGGAAATCTTGTTTGTGCTGGGAGCCCGCGCTGTAATTTAGCACGCCTGCTAGAGCGCTACCTGCAGCGCGAATTATATAACGCTTCTGG